GGATTGTTGTGTCAAAATGAAATCTAATTCTTTCATCTTTTCATCCCTTAATTCTGTTAATTTAGATTCGAGCCAACTCACCGTAGAACTTAATCGTGGCATTGGTCGTTCGTACGAGGCAGTGATTACTTTGCGAAAAAGGACATTAGAAGGCATTATCTTATCCCTCTCTGACTTGATCGAATGTCTTTGTTTCTTCATTATCTTAGGATAATTAGGATTATATTCAAATCCTGAATGAAGTGTAGATGCCTCCTTGAGCTTATACAAAAATGGATTTAAATTCACTTCCTTTGCTTGAAGATGTGATTTCTGTTTAAGTCTTTCAAGAGGAAATCTTCTATATTTGTCATTGATAGGGCGTATATTGGGAAATTGTCCATATCCGTGTGGATCCTGTTCGGTATCGATGGTAGCAAATCCATTGTTTTCGCTTCTACGATACATCGACGGATCACGTTTCGTCCATCTACGACTGGTTATAGCAATAGTCAGAATTTCTTTAAATAATAACGAAAATATTAGAATTCGATACATGGCGAAAGAAAAATCGCTGCGAAGAGAACGCATTCTAACAATGAAAACGTTTTTCATTATTTCTTTGTAATAATGTTAAGCAATACGTCATTTGTATATTTTTGTTATTGATATTTTAATAAACGCTATTTGGGGTTTTTAAAGAAATTTAAGAAATTTTTTTCTTTTAGAGAGTCCCAGGTGGTAATATACCTTAAGATTAAAGATGGTCTCTTATAGATCTTTAGAATAGTGCTCTCTTATGTGAAATTCTGCTGTAAAAGTCACCATAATGGCCCACATTTAAACTGATTAGTAAGATTCTCACTAATATAAAACGTAGGAGAAAATTGGAATTTGGGAGAGGATTCTCTCAAGCAAACTGTTCTCTTATCTGATGCCATTAAGTGGACTCAATATAGTTTATAGTTAAACTGTAAATACTGATTATTTGGATTGGATTGATGGAGTAAGGCAATGCAACATATGGACAATCTGCCAAGGAGGGATGCTCTCTGAAAAACTATGGAAAATTGACCACCATTTAAATTTTAGACACGGGAAGAAAACCCAGAAAACTTGGTATGGCACAAACTTGTAACCAACTACAAGTGTTCGGTAGTTTTATCCAATTATTTGGAATTTAAAATCTACAAAAATCTATTATGATCAGGATTATATCCATCTATTTTAATCTTCTTCACTATCCACGAATAAATATAATAATATAAATCGCGAATAAATTATTTTATTCTTTTAATAAAACTGAAAAATAGTTTTGGTAGGTAAAAATGCGATGCGTGATATTGAATTCATTACTGCAAAAATATTTACTTTAACAATGTCAGAATCATAATTCTATGAATATATTAGACTCCATTATTTTGTTTCTAACTTGCTGACATCATTCCTTATGATTATTATTGTAAGATAAAAGCCATGCAAATTGCATTGGAAGTTAATGGTTTATACGAGCAATTCGAATGTCGTTTCTCTAAATCTTTGTAAGAAAATCCTTAGATGTCATCTTTCCATTTCAATAAAACAAAGTACATATCCCACCGTTTTGTTTTGTTAAGTGGAAGGCAGAAAATTTAATAAACAATACTAAAAGATTATGTATATCCGCGCGGTAAGGCATTCGGAGGATCCGGGTTCGAATCCGACGCTCTTTTCACAATATATATATATATATCATATAGAGTAGGGTTATGTTTTACTTGCTGACCCGAATCTGCCTTCTTGTAATGGGCCGAATCAAGTATTTTGGACACAATGTTTGCTCTTAGAGAACACTAAATGCCGCGCATCAAACAAGCAGTTTGAAATAAAAATAAAATATTTTACAAGATTAATTATTAGGGTTTTTGGATGATAAACAGAATAAGTAAATCCGTAACAATTGTATAAATAATTTTTAAAGCATTTTTTATTTTTTTAATGCTTTAATTAGGCCGATGCCTTAACTGCCTCGGCCTACCGCTCCGCGGAACCCGGGTTCGAATTCGGGCGAGTAATCTCAGGAATATTTCCTGTTGGTCTATTCTAAATATGTACGGTTCCATGCCTCGTCACTCGGCTCCCACTTGTATACCCTCTTAGGGCCCGCAGGGCAGAAAGTGTAAAACAAAAGACATTTTAACGTATACCAATTCATAGAACAATAGATATTCAGTAATTTATTATAAATTATTTCAAATTTATAAAATGTTTAAATTAATAATTATAAAAAATAAAAAAATAAAATAACATTTATATTCGTTAATTTAAATAATATTTAAAAATAGTATGAATAGCAAAAATAGTCGTCTGCTCCATTTTTTTTATTAATATAACGATAATCATTATATAATCTCATTACTAATTACACAATTATCTTATATTATATTATTATTGTCAAATATAATTCCGATAAAAATTTCGATAATATTTATAAATAATATGAAGATAATTTAAGGGTTGCAATTATCAGTGCAAGATGGCGACGGGTTATGTCGATCTGCGTTATAAGCTCCTTCAATCTTGTCAAAAATTTCCAGTTAATCGTCATCAGAGAGACGTGGAAGATATAAATAACGATAGATGGAAACCTTATCAAACGGATAAACGTAAATATAACGATCGACAAAATTATGGAGACGTTTTACGTAAATTACACGAAGGCATACAACAGAGACGTATGTTTAGCGAAGAGGAATGCATTTGCATCGAGAATAAAATTGAAGACGTCGTTAGATGCGGGGAAATCGGTAAATATAAACAACATACCGTCGACAGATCGCCACTTAGGAATAAATATTTCTTCGGTGAAGGGTATACCTACGGTTCTCAATTGTCTAAGAAAGGACCTGGCATGGAAAAGTTATACCCAAAAGGAGAGGTGGATGATATACCTCAGTGGATTGAAGATTTGGTGAGTATTTTTTTGTTTATTTATTGCTAATTTGTNGCCAAACTAATAAAAAGGGTAGTTAAATCTTGTAACACTGGAAGGAATACTAAATAAAGCTGAAGTAAGTTGGGACTCAAAGGATTATAGACCCAAATGTGGGGAAAGGACAAAAGATAATGAAATGAAGAAGGTTGGAAAATTAAGGGTCAATATTTGCATAACAGAAGGTCTATTTTGTGATCATCTTTTCATTTTAGAAAAGATGAGCACAAAAAACAAACAAGATAATTCTTTGTGACAAAGCAGTCAACTAAGGTGTTTTACATTACATTCAAATATAACTGTGTGATAGAGAAGTGTCGAACAAAGTAAATGTTCAGTCCAAAATGAATCACCCTGTATATTTAAATGTGTTTTTAATGTAACTGTGTAATACAGAATGCAGAAAAACAGCTGTTTTTTTATTATTATGTGATTATTCTATAAACTACACAAATATCCTGTTCAGGTAGATTTTTTTTTACATAATGAATCCTAGAATACAGACCTGTGAAGAATTTAATTATAAAATGAGCAATTATTTATTGTGACATTGTCACAATACCAGGTTGTAATTTTTAATTTGTTTAACTTAAAATATATACTCTCTACCACAAATTATTAGTGTCTTGCCCTTGTACATCATACTTTTCCTGTTAGAATAGCCTGTCATCTAACTCCTTTCAGGTGGAAATTTGAATTGAAATAATGTGACTTTTGGTTTGTACTGGAAGTTTGTATATAGTTAATTGGGGCTCCTGCCCCTAAGCTTTCCATATCTGTTTCCAACTTTCGTCTATCTAACTCCATTCTCAAGATGAAGGAACGACAGATGGACGACATTGGGAATTTATAGGACTACAATTTTTTCAAATTGCTGTTAAAATAATTTTATTTTACATAATTAGATTAAGTGAATAAATTATAAATTATTTAGAAATGCAAAATAAACTTTTTCAGAAAAAGTTAGCAGAATTACGAATCAAAGAATTTAGAGAACAAGGTGAAAAGGCCAAAGAAAAGTTGAAGGAAATTTTGCTTGAACAATGTTTGGCTTAATTTGTTTTTTTTTTTTTTTTTATAACATCAATTCAGATATAAAACTTTTATATTAAATATTTTGTGTTGCATAGTAACTTTGAAATGATTAAAAAATTTTTTATTCATTGAAAATAATTTTCTGTTTGTTTCCATTTAAACATTTTTGACATCAATTGTTATTCATTAAATAACAATTGATTATTTAGAATTGTAAAGAGCATAATCGAAACTGCCCCAAGTCCCGTATTATGTATTCGGTTGGCATTAACAAATACCACAGCACGTTTTCAAATGAATAATCACTGAAAATTCATCAAGTGAATATCTCTAAAACTAAGAGTTATTAATATTTTCTAACATTTCTGAATACTTTGTGCTAAAGTTATTAAGTAATTGGGTACATTTACAGTTAAAATAGACTAAGAGGGCCTTCTTAGGAATCCTGTTATCGGGGCAGCAATTATGGCAAGGGATGGGGCCCCGACTTATCTACATGGATCCCTACTGAAAAATTTCTGGGATTTTTTTGACCCGTCTGGATTCGATCTTGAGTCCCCCAGAGTGGTAGGCTGCAACCTACCCGGTCATTCTGCTGTAACAAATAAAGTAACATCAAAATTACATTTCTGTTCTAATGATAGCTATGATAAGCTTTCTATTTCATAGATGGATCCCAAAAATATAGTTAGTTAGTTGTGTGTTGGAGTATTGAGACATTTGACTTTGAGTTTGATCTAATCATCTGACTTGTGGACAATCTGCATTAAGATGTCATTGCTACAAAATTTTAAAAAATTGTTTAAAAATGCTAATTCTTTATGTATTTTTTATTATTATTAATTTATTTTTAAAAATAAAAACTGCAGATCCTTAAAATAGCATTTCATATAAGTGCTTCAAAAATTGTTTTGTGTAAGAGCATGAAGCAATTTTTGAAGCACTGGCTTGTTGGGTGTGCCAATAACTCAAAAAAAGGTCGAGAACTATTACTGTAAAGGGGTGTCCAACATTTTTGTTTCTCTAGGCATAGGAAGAAGTCATGGAGTTTTGCAAGTATATATAATATACCTTGCGGCCCAATCCTTAAATATACTTGTATATTTAAGGATTAACATATGTAGATTATAGTAATAAGTATTAAAACTTTATCACAAAAAAGGATATTTTAAAAAATTACTTCTACAGATGCTTTCGATTTTTACTTCGATATAGATAAATTAATTTATTATGAAGGAGACAAACAAAAATTTATTTGAAAAACACAAATATTTGTTTTATTTGGGTCTCTGATTAATAAAAAACAATGAAACACCATTTTAAAGTGCATTTTTATTCAACTAGTATTCTAGTATAAATAATATGTAGCCCAAAAAGTAGCCAATGCACCAATGATATTTTTTATGCCAAACTAATAAAAAGGGTAGTTAAATCTTGTAACACTGGAAGGAATACTAAATAAAGCTGAAGTAAGTTGGGACTCAAAGGATTATAGACCCAAATGTGGGGAAAGGACAAAAGATAATGAAATGAAGAAGGTTGGAAAATTAAGGGTCAATATTTGCATAACAGAAGGTCTATTTTGTGATCATCTTTTCATTTTAGAAAAGATGAGCACAAAAAACAAACAAGATAATTCTTTGTGACAAAGCAGTCAACTAAGGTGTTTTACATTACATTCAAATATAACTGTGTGATAGAGAAGTGTCGAACAAAGTAAATGTTCAGTCCAAAATGAATCACCCTGTATATTTAAATGTGTTTTTAATGTAACTGTGTAATACAGAATGCAGAAAAACAGCTGTTTTTTTATTATTATGTGATTATTCTATAAACTACACAAATATCCTGTTCAGGTAGATTTTTTTTTACATAATGAATCCTAGAATACAGACCTGTGAAGAATTTAATTATAAAATGAGCAATTATTTATTGTGACATTGTCACAATACCAGGTTGTAATTTTTAATTTGTTTAACTTAAAATATATACTCTCTACCACAAATTATTAGTGTCTTGCCCTTGTACATCATACTTTTCCTGTTAGAATAGCCTGTCATCTAACTCCTTTCAGGTGGAAATTTGAATTGAAATAATGTGACTTTTGGTTTGTACTGGAAGTTTGTATATAGTTAATTGGGGCTCCTGCCCCTAAGCTTTCCATATCTGTTTCCAACTTTCGTCTATCTAACTCCATTCTCAAGATGAAGGAAGGACAGATGGACGACATTGGGAATTTATAGGACTACAATTTTTTCAAATTGCTGTTAAAATAATTTTATTTTACATAATTAGATTAAGTGAATAAATTATAAATTATTTAGAAATGCAAAATAAACTATATCTTATTTGAAATTGTTGATACAAATAATTTTTATATAGTAACAAAGCACTATTATGATGTCAGAACCATTTATAACTGAAACTAATACAAAGATCTTTGTATAATCATTGTTGTCATTACTATTGCTAAATGCAGAGTGTTTTTAAAGTTGCAGTTGGTATTGTAGGTTATACCAAACCAAAAAACCATGCACGTGCAATTAAACTGCCTATGTGTAGCTGTGTAATAGTGAAAAACAACAGGTATGTGTCGTTCTTGGCCACTACTGATGCACTGGTGAATAGTTTAATAAGCTTTTACCAAAACATCCTGTAACCTAACAAGACAGCAGAAGTAAATGGCACTATATTGGCATTTGCAGATTTACTTTGTCAAAATAACTTTGGGTTAATACCAAAAATATAAAATATCCAAAAAAATAATAATAATAATGTTAAGATGGTGTTAATAATATAACTGTGGAGGCAGTCATATTGCTTTGTCAGAGCTCACTGTATCCACAGCCCAATTGCATTGGCTGCTGCACCAATGAACTTTGTAAATAGAACACAGTTTAGTACGTCATAATTCACCAATGCATACTAGAATGTACTCTTTATCACACAAAATCAATCAAGCTGAAAAACACAACCACAACCTACAATACCTACTGTGGAGAAACTAAACCTGTATTATGCAGTTTTTTAATTATTAATT